TTGTCAAAATTAACTTTCCTTCAGGCATAATAAAAGTTGCTCAGCTAGGAAAAAAAATAGCACTTAAGATCACTCTTGAAAGTATACTGCAATGCAACCAATTCATGTTGCAAATAATGTTTTGTTAAAAATGAAAGACATAGACTCACTGCCTTCTCCAGCAACAGGAAAAACTTGTCCTTCCAAAAAGCTGGATTCCAAATTACACCTCAGGCTGCAGGGAGTCAAGGTTTCATATGCAACTGGTTGAATGGCTGTTTATTTTTGGTGTTTTTTTCCAAAAATCTACAAAAGAGATTTGGACTGGACTTTACGTGCAGAAAAACTGCAATGTTTTCTAATTGATAAGAGAGAAGAAAAAGTGTTAAGCAATTTGTGTTCCAAAGATGTAGGTGCTAATTAAGAGCGCCGTATCAGATTTATAATCAGTTATCATTTCCTCTATTGCCAAACATTTTTATTTGATTTTTGGGCAAGCATTTTTTGGCTTTTTAGTTCTAGATATTCTTTGATTTTTGCTTATACCTTACAGAAAGCCTTAATTTTTTCAGCTTTTGAAAAAAATCATACTGCCAAAGTACATTTAGCTGCTTACCAGAGCATGACTTTTAAACTCATAATCAAAAACAATATTGTAGCAGTGAAGATGGAAACAAAACTAAAAGTGGTAGAAAACATATAGTGATCAGGCTTCTATAACATTTAATTGTATTTGCTTGAGATGGTGTCTCTTATAGCAGTGGATCATCAGTGCAATTAAAGTAGTACTGTATATGCTAGCCATTACAAAAAAAATAAAAGCCAATTCAAGTTCTCTCTTCTCTTTCAGCGATTCTGTGTAACTGAGCAATGCTGCTAGCTTTCAGATGTTCTAACACTGGCAGGAAGAAGTTACTTTGCTTGTCTTAGATCTAACAAAGAGTTGGAGGCAGGGCTAGATGTATAAGTCAGGAGGTTTAAATAAAATTCTTTGATTTCATCTCGACAGTGTTCTTACCCACTCTACTGTCTCAGCGTTAATTAAAGAGTTTACTTTGGAACTCCACAAACTATACAGAGCTAGACAAGAATTACGTTTTGAGATCATAATTAAAAAGCATATGATTATTCACTTTACTTCCTCTTTAAGAAGTTGAAGTGACATTAAAACTTAGCCAGATGTTTTTCATATATATAAAAATACACATGATATGTAAGACTCCAAAGAATTGAACTTGGAATCCTTATGCAAATAAAAATAGTTTCATATGTGTTTCTGCTCTTTAAAAAGTCCCAAGATAAAAAAGAACAGAAGTATTTCACAGTGTTATAAGGAAGAGGAAAACAAACCAAGCCCTGGATACACTTTGTAGATTTTATCATTAACTTGTGAGGCATGTCTTTTGTTTGCCAGTGATTTTGTCTAGAAAGTCCAGATTACAAGCTCTTATAATATAGAACCTAGACATAATTTAACACTGAGTATGTGCAAAATTAAAAGGAAAACGTAGTACACTGTTGCAATGCTCATATTACAATTAAAGTAAAAATGCTAAGTGCTCTTCCCAGGTAGCCTCTTTCTGTTCATCACATAGGGAGATAAAATTTGCAGTGCACAAACAGGACTGGACATCCATGCACACCTACTCTGCCAACCATCTGTGTGCAGCCAAATCTCAACTCCTTAGCAAGGCTAAGGAACAGGGTGGTAAGAATAATTAGGTTTCTAGCATCAATAAAGGAGCTGTGTTTTCCTAACCCAAATGTCTCCCCAAGGTATGATTCAAATTGTATTCACACTAAAGCCAGGATAAAAAGTGCAAAATATTGTTCACTCATCACCAAAATTTTGACATAAAATAGTTTGTATTGTTTGCTATAAATAGAATATCTGATGATTAAAAGATAGATTTTTCCCTAACCTCCTGACAAAACCAAAACACATTATTTCTAATAGACAACAATTACAAAACCAAAACACATTATTTCTAATAGACAACAATTACTAAGAGTATCAGTGACTGTCATTAATAGCTCCCTTGTACATTTAGGGCAGTAACCTAGTGACCAAATGAGAATATATTACATGGAGATGTTTAATCCTATCTGTTGGAAGTATTTCAGTAAGCATATATAAGCAAAAGTTCATGGATCAGAGACTGAAACTCACATATCCTATCTTTCAAGCCAGCAGCTTTACAATCATTATTACTTGTAAACTATTTGTAAGTTATTTTCATTTAAAAAAATAGCAATAGCTATTTTCAATAGCAATATCTGAAGGAGATCAAATTCTGTAAATTAATTAGTATTGACAATAAATTAATGATAAAACATCAATCAAATGTATAACTAGCCATAAAGTAGATAAATATTTTAACTGATTTCATCAAACATTTGAACTGTTACACAAGAAATACTTCAAAAATATCACAGGTTTGTGTTTAAACTTGGAGGTGTGATTTTAATACTATCTTCAATAGTATTAAAAGCCATAATGTTGAAGCATAATTCTATTTAAACATTTTAATCCTGAAATATGATACCTTTGAAGCAGTCTTAGAAAAAGCCTAACAATTTTATGTACGAGCAGCACACCCAGACCACCTGAAATAACAAGCAAAAATAGGAAGGTGTTTGCTTTTTTTCCCCCAAAAGGATTGTGCTGGAATCTCATGAAACTTGACCAGCACATCCACTGCATTCAGGAGATTACATATAATCTTACCAATTATCAAAGTCAATCATCTTAACCACAACAGTGAAGCAAAAATAGATCCACAGTCAGTGTTTAAGAATGGACTAGGATTCCCATATCTTCTGTCTTACTAGCAGATTAAACTAGCATGAGAATACTTCCCTTGCTGAATCTGTTGGGACTGTATTACTCACTTTCCCTACACAGATTATTTTAGTACCATTAAACCATTACAACTCTGTCATTTTCCACCTTCGTGGGAACAAGAAATAGTGCTAAATTCTGAAAAGCAAGGTGAGGTTGAGATTCACACAATAGGAGTTTTCATATAGTTAATGCCAGCTAGGATAGCCTGAAACATCGTGGGCAAGTGCTAGCTAAATGCTAGCAGATCAGTGCAGCAGCTTTGGCCCTTAACTTAATATACATCAAACTGCCTAGATTCTATTGGCGATGGTTATTTAAGCTGTTGCCATCCACACTTGGCTTGGGATCATTTTGATATACCCCTGACAAACCATGGGTAGGGTGGCACAGAAAGAAAGATGGACAAGCATGAGAATTTGTTTGCTCCAATTAGACGAGTACACATTTATGCCATACGAAATAAATAATGCAGCATGGATACCATATTCTGCCCTTTCACAGCTGTAGCCTCAGTTGGATTTTTGTTTCCTGGAAGTTACATCTAGTACAGAAGGTTTTTGTGAACGTCATCCCTCCTTCTACATTTATCATGGCCTAAATCAATATGCTGTGAACTATGCTCACATGGGCCAGACATCCTTATGGAGAGCAAAATTGTTTCTGAACAGTGGAAATAAAAGTGCAATAGCACATGAATTTCCTAGGATCTGTCCTACATTACTCAACCAGAACTTTCCCAGTGAAGGCTGAAGTGTGGATTTCTATTGGCATCTTTGGAGGTCTCTTTGAACAATAGCATTACACGGCCATCTTCTTTTATTTAAGGTACTCTGCTACGTAGCTTTCAGTAATTTATATAACAGTGGATGCATGTGTGCCAAGTAAAGGGAAAACTGAAGAGGTTTGTTTTCATCCTGACCATCTTCTTAACTAAAACAGCTTATGGATTTCACGCCTGCACAATGATATATGTGCAGCACTATAAAACAAGATTATAGGCTTACACAAATGAGAAAAGAAAGTCAACTTTTCTCAATGAAAATGTCCTCCTGCCAACCTGCATTCATAATCCATAGGTTAAGCTCAAGTCTTGCAATGCAGTCCAACATCAAGTGCCTTCTCAAATTCTGGAAATGATAGATTAGTTGCCACACTAAATTCACCTTTCTGTTTTCTTTTATGGGAATACTGAGGGCTGAGTGTCACTGCTGAGGTACAACAATGTATAGATAACGTCCTGCCCCAGCAACAGTAAAAATATACAAGTATAAAGAGGAATGGGACACCAATAGAGAAAAAAAATTGACCATATTTTAACTTTTCACATTGCTGCAATACTTACTAAAACTTGCTGCCTTTATGCCAAAACACATAACCTACATTATTTAAACAAATTGCCCGTGAAAGTCAAAGACCCATTTTCCACTGACTGTATACACAAAAGCATCCACTAAAATACGGATTTTCTGGCTGGGTTAATGACTTATCACATTTGGTGCTAGTAATATTAAAATCAATGCAGCTCTCACTTCAGCAGAATAAATCTAAGTCTGTGTAACAGTATTATTAACCATCAAATCCATCATTGAATCTAGTCACTGCAAAATTCAGTAGATTTTGCCATGAAGAGCTGCAAGTATCTCAATTTTTTTAATCACCATCTGGTCAATTTTCCATAAATGCCAATTTGTCTCTGAATTAAGTATTTGCAGCCTCTGCTTGATTCACTAAGTTCACATAAACACAGAAACACCAAGATTGGAAAAGACCTACAAGCTCATCCAGTCGAACCATCCACCTATCACCAATAGTTCTCACTAAATCACATCCCTCAACACAACATCCAAAAGTTAGACCAAGCAAACAAGTAAGTTCAGATACTACAAAGAAAAACTCTTGTAATTTTGCAATATTTTATGCCCATAACTAGCTTTAGAAATTGGTGTAAGTCATTGTAAAATTAGTTACTTGCATAAAAACAAGGGCATAACCTTACATATGAAGCAGAATGCATGAAAGCTTTAGCCCTGCTTTATCAATAATCTCTTGAGCATCTTTCAAGTTAATCAGGTGTTTATAAGCTTTACTAGATTAGGGTGCTCAGATTTCCTTTTCATTATTGAGTTTAAACAAAGTTCATCATGCTGCCCAGGGAACAACAGTCTGGAACACTCACCTCTTGATCACAACAATGAAGCATGGAATATTCCATATTTGCTCACAAAAATCTCCCAGTGAAAATGATAACAGGAGCACTGACTGCTCTTCCAACTGGATTCCAAAAAAGCAAATTAAGAAATTAATTTTACAATTAAACATGACACTTGCAAAGTCATTATTAAAATTTGATGCATTATCTGGTTAATATGAAACTCCAGCTACCCACCAGAATTAGTAACAAGAATTCCAACAGCATGTTGGAATTTTTATTATGTTACATTAATGGGACTACTTTCTAAGAACACAATGCTTTCTACAATAGTGATCTCTTAATAATCATATTTTTTTCTCTGTCTTCCTTTGATCTACTTTACTGCTTGTAGGCTTTCAGCCCTGAAATATCTCTGGGGAAATATCACTGTCAATTACCAGGAAGTCATGATGTTTTATGGAGCACCTACACAGCAATTTTCAAAAAACAGCCAAGTCTTGTAGAAGATATAATCCTTCACAGTAAGGCTGTATGTGGTTACTATTTGTTACTAACAGACTGAGATGAGAAATGATTGTGCATCCTAGGACATACAGATTTGGAAGTGGTCAGTGAGGTCTTACAAACAAAAAGTTCCACAAAAACAAGTGGATGAAAATAAAGTGAGCTTCAGACTCCTATTATTTCAGTGGCATGGACCACAACATAAAAGATCTGGGGTTGTTTCTAATGAGCAATTATAGATTCTGCAACTTTTACTGTGAAATTTCACAAGTTGAGAAATCTGGGAGAGAATTTAAGAAAATACAGAACGCTGCTTAAAGCTTCAAAGTGTTAACATCCTATCTTTCTAAGCCTGAGAAAGGGATAAACTAATTACCTGCCACAACAGCATGAACTTACAGCTTTCTGTAGGATATAGTCTTAAATTAGGGTACAAGGCCAGGACATTTGGTTTTGTAGTTGATAAACTGTTGGAAAAATCCAAACAATACTTCTCTTCTTTGCTCAGCAAAAACATTATATTGACTGAATCAAAGCCAGTATGTGTATTCATGAGCTATCTTGCCTTAGCCTTATTTGTAATCTAATTAAGACAGAATAGTATTTATGATGCTGCAGAGGTACAGCAAGGGTCTCATTTTAAAGTTGATATTTTGGGCGTCACAAGTCCACTTACAGATCTCTCTCCTGAATCAAACAGCATGTTTTATTTGAAGGCAGGACAACCTTTCCAGAGAAAAATTGGCAGAGAAAAAATACCACCACCTAAGGATGAGAAAGAAAAGGAATAACAGCGTTAGATATTTTTTAGTATTTTCTAAAATCTCTAAACTAGAATTCCAGAAAGTATTCAGCTTAATTATTTTGGCCGAGTCATCTGAAAGAAAACTACCAGGCTTCAGTTATTACTGATATATCCATATTCCTGAACCAAATACACATTTAAGATTCATTTAGCCCTTCTGCTTGGGTGAAGACATGAAATCCTGAAGGTCCACTCTATTAATTCAGTGTAGAAAGTTCTTTAAGTAGCTATTCGTTACTATACAAACCAAGAGAATGCTTGTCAACTTTGTGTTACAGCAGAATAGTAGCTTTCAAAATCTGTTAATACAAATGCCTATATTCACATTATAGGCTACTTTATATAAAATAGATGCTATCATTATTTGTTACAGCATTATTTCACTGGTACTGGTGGCCATCTGCTATTTCAGAAAGACTGTCACAGAAGATGCTAGCATGACAGTGCACAGCTTCTCTGTGTCCTCAGAAATCTTTATCAATTAATCTAAAATTCAGTATTTACATTATGGTAAAATGCTATCTCTTCATCGGAGCACTGATAAGCATCAGGTAGCTTACAATATTGTCCGATTTCTTATTCACAAATCTTCACATGGGAAGGTCAGCTCAAAAGACTAACAGCTAATACACTCATCCACTGGTTTCATAACCCATTCATCATGGATTTCTTATAGTCAGACAGAATTCTACATCCTGATGATATTACAGAGATTTCTGCAAAGCCTCTATACTCCTAATTTACAGAATTATGACACTCCACATACTTTGTGGCATCCACATTTCTCTTTTTATAGTCAAGTTAAATAGATACACAGGAGTGCATGAACAATTAAGCTTAATTTTTTGCCTTCAAAAAAAGCAACCTGCAGTTTTACCTACTTCAGAATATGACAATTACCTACAAACAAGATTAAGAGAACACCATAGTAAGTAACGGAAGTGACCTTCTGAGATCTTACTGCCTTTCTTGATAGCTGCATGAGGAGTCTTTGTTTCACTTACAAACTAGAATAAATAGAAAAATAACCTGATAAATAAATACAGCATAGAAGGACTAATTTCTGTTTATATACGTATTTTTAACTGTTTGCCCTATGACAAATATTAGACTGCAGAAATAGCAGACATTCAATAACTAATATAACATCACCTATATTGTATATTATGTATTCATAAATATTTTACACTTTATTCAGACACTGTAACAGGAAAAAATGATCAGACCCATCACGGACACCATGGACTAAATATCTTAAGAGACAGTAGAAGTGAAACGCTTTAGATCAGCCTGTGCACCCACAGCACATGGTAAACCAATCTATGTATTCATTAACACATGGCATGGTGTTAAGATACAAGCCTACACAGAAGCAGTTAAAGCTCTTAGATACCGGTCTATTGAATACAGACTGAGTTTTTACCAGTTGTGAATCAAGCTTACCTGATTCCCATTTTTGTATTACTGTCACTGAGAACTAAACATACAGGGCTGCTGGCTGCAGAACCTCCATCTCCTTCACAAAAGCAGCTTTGTCTATGCAAGGATAATTGCATTCTAATCTAGAATTCTGCCATTTCTCAGAAGTGCATCACGTCCTTACACCACGTGCTAACAGAAGGTTATTATTCTCAGTTATACAGACAACTTAAGGCAGACACCAAAGTCAGAGATCCAGTGGGAAACATTTTTAAGAAGTACAGAGGCTCTTGTTGCCTACTTAGACGTGCAGTTATCAAAACTGGTATGCCATGATCCATGTGCTCTTAAGTATGTTCATAGAATAACAGAATATCCTAAGTGAGAAGGGATCCGTAAGGATCGTTGAGTCCAACTCCTGCCTCCACACAGGACCACCCAAAAATCAGACTGTATGTCTAAGTGTGCTGTCCAGATGCTTCATGAATTCTGTCCAGCTCAGTGCTACAACCGCTTCTCCAAAGAGGCTGTTCCAGTGCCCAGTCACCCTCTCAGAGAAGAACCTTTTCCTGATGTCCAACCTAATCCATGCCATTCCCTTGGGTTCTATTGTAGGTCATCAGAGAGGGGAGATCAGACCCTGCCTCTCCACACCCTCTCCAGAGGAAGCTGTAGGCTATGACGTCTCCCTTCAACCTCCTCTTCTCTGACCTGAACAAACTAAGGGACTTCAGGCACTCCTCGTAAGTCTGTATGTATAACCAAGGCTGTCCCTTCTCAGCTGAAGAATCCGATCCTTGTTTAGCTTCATGCCATTGGTGATTGCCCAGCTTTCTAATTTGTCTAATTTGACCCATCGGGTTCCATGAACTTCTATGCATGTATGGAACAGCATTGTTGCAACAGCAAATCACAAACAATAATCCTTTTCCAGGAAGACAGTGAAATTCAAGAAAATCCCACAATGCTCAGACTTGATTACGGTCATCATTTGTAATGACAACTGTCCAATTATGGAGTGCTTAAAAGACAAAGTAAAAGTAGGCAAGACTAAATAAAAAAAAAGCAGTTAGATTTTATAAAAGGATAAGAATGTTATTAGGTACAGCAGGTTAGGGCTTTTTTTTTTTTTTCCTCCCCCAAAGATGACAATCAAAACAAAGATTGTAACTTCATCAGATTTCATACTTTTTGTTTTCTATGTAATTCCTGTACTTTTTACTTCCCAATTGTTTCATGTACCATAGTTAGAGACTTGGAAGGTGGCATATGAAGAATATTTGAAGAAACAGTGCTCATTCAGCCTCGCAAAGAGATGGCTCAATGGAGATTTAATCTATATTCCAATATCTAAAAGATAGCCACAGAGAAGATAATCTCTTCACCACATGGTAACAAAGAGAATGGACACAAGTTGCTCCAGAAGAACTTGCATCTGCATGTAAGAAAAATAATATCAAGAGAACAACTAAACATCAGGAAAAAGTTGCCCAGAGAAGTGGTGGAGTCTTACTCATTGAAAATTTACAAGATTCAGATTGACAGGACATCTGATAATGCATTTTAAGGCTCTCTGTCAAGAGGGGGCTTGTTCAGATGATCTCGGGAGATTTCAACCTGGACTCCTCTAACAGAGCTTCTCTTTGTCAGCTGGGTCAGGAAGTCATCAATACGCTCCAGAAGCTCCCTTAGTTGCTTGTTCTCTGCTGTATTGCCCTTCCAGCAGATTTCATGGTGGTTGAAGTCCATAGCAGATATCCACAGCAGTATCCACTCACCTTGGTCTCCCTTTAATCCTAATTCATAAAGACTCATCTGGCTAATCATCAGTGCTTAGGTAAAGGTTCATGAGTTGTTGCTGCAGCTCTCTCCTCCTTGCTGGCCCATCCTTTCTGTCCTAAAGGGCCTGTATCACATCATTGCAGTGCTCCAGCAATGTAAGCTATAGGAATATATTTCCGTGGTCCCAATGTCATCATTGTTTTGTAGCTACAAACAGGCCTTGAGCTTCTTGCGCATAAAGCCAAGAATTGTTTTAAAGTTTGTTATAATTAGCATTGTTAAAATAACCCAGTTATACTGTTGTCCAAAATAATAATCAGCTGCACAAAATAAGCCTTTCAATGACAAAAAAATGAGGAAAGCAACAAACAATCCTGTATGCTTTATTGATATTGAAGTACAGTTCCATTAAAATTGCTAAATGTCACTTAAAAAAAAAAACACATTGAAATTCAATACACAAAAGCCCTTGAATAACAATGTGATCAGTCAGTTACCTACAAATACAAAACCTGATCACAAAAAAAAAGAGACAAGTTTGTACATATAACTTTATACTTATGTTCCAGCTCACTCAAGCTCATAAGAATGACTTTGCTTTCTGTACTGTAACTACTTTCTATGCAAAGACTGTACACAAAGGTTGTTCTTGGGTTCATATATTACCATAGGTGAAAACTTATGTGACCGACAAGATTCAGATCTCTTACTGTTCTTCATGGTATGAGCACTTTCTTCCTTTGGAGGAGGAATGTGTACTGGTTTCCAAGGAATGGGGTTGCAATATGCTGGAGCTGGATATGAATTTCCATCAGGACGCCCTAAAACATTTAGAAAATATATGTAACTGAAAAGCAATATGTACTCGACGGGCTATATAATGCATGCAGTTCTAATAATCACCTAGAGTAAGACTGAACAATATCTTCAGAGGAATACAGTAAATGCATGTGACAATTCAAATCATTCAAAGTGATAAAATCTTTTACCTCTCTATTACCAATGACTAGTGTATTCCTCATCTGTATTAAAAAAAAAAAGCAGGTTGAATTCTATGCAACATTCAAAATGCTCAGTCTCTTGTATACTTAAAAGATGCGTATGTATGTGAATTGGCTACATCACATCACTTCAAAGCATTTATAAATATTACTTCCTGTCACCACATATATAAAATACACATACTTTTTCCATCTTTGCTTAACGACAACTCTTCATTTTACCAAGGAGAAAAACATGTAAGTTTTCCACAATTTAATTAACTGTCTGCAATTATTAACCTGGGGACTTAGACTAGTATAAGAAAGCAGAAGGAACACATTGTTCTGTCAGTCACTTGTGCGTACTGAAATTCCACTGCACACATCATGAGGTTGGGTAAAACAAAGTCTATAACACATTCGATTGCATGAACACTACTGAGTATAGAAATACTTCTTAAAAAAAAAAATAAAATACTTAAGTGATTGCAGCTGTCAGGAAGTTATGAGCTACAAATGCGAAACATGAAAGCAAAGTATCACTATCTACAAGCAGATGTAAGCAAAAGAACAACTGGTTGCTCATCTGCTACAAGGATTTTCTTAAGCATTCAAAATGTAGGATTTAGGTCCTAGAATATTTTCTGTCACAAATACAAATAATAATAATGATTTGATTCTATGAAAAAATAAATATGAAAGTATAGTTTGGTTTTTTTTAAAGGACATCTAATTAAGCACTGAAATGTAATACAAAATATTACTTCTTACAGCTCTTCAGTTTTTGTATCACATGGAATTACAAACAAAACACAATAACAAAGTAAGACTCTCAAATCTCCACACCATCATCAGCATTCTCTTTCACACTTCCCTTAAATTGAAAAAAGAATATGACAACAGATGCAAGGAGGTGTGAAGCAATTGCAAAGCTAAATTGCTAAAGGAAACTGTCACTCAGAACAGAAGTTAATTCCCACATAACCCTTTTCAAGCAGAACTTCTGCCAGACTGTTATTAATCTTCACATCTCAAAAACTGCCCCTTTTCTTAACATGGATTCTGGTGCAACAAGAGAGCACATGTTTTCTGAAACACAAATACTAATTTTCCAACAATGTCAACATAGCTATATGCTTCACAGGAACCAGTAATTAGCCTGATAAGGAACTTAACAAGATTAATATCAATTATAATTTGGTATGCCACATTATTCTCAAGTAACATTCTTTTCCTCCTAAATGATATAAATCATAGAATCAAAGAATCAATAAAAAACATACAAATGTCCGACCATAAAAGCTTTTCCAACTGACACCATACAGGATATTCATTCTCATGTGTCAAAACGAGATACTGGATGAAGATCTTAAAACAGCTTCATTTTACATTAAAGATTAGAGGGGAAGAATCACATCCTAAGTCACTGCATATGTGTAGTAGAAGTACAAACCTGTAGACTTCCCATGTGAAAAGCCATAACTATTTAATACGGGGCGTGGTTTATTTCTAGCATTACGTAGCCATTCATTAAAAATCTTCTCTGCTCTCTCTCTCTTTTCTTGCAGCTCAACCTGCCTTTCTTTTTCTTTTTCCTGAAAATAAAATAATGTAAGATGTCTACAGACAAAACATGTCACTATGTTTTTACAGGCATTGTGATTGGATTTAAATCAAGTTTAATTGATACTGTGAGCAAAACTTATACAAACTTACATTAACAAAGAGAGGACTAAAGGGAATGTATGTTGGTTTAAATCTCTCTTTAAACTCCCATTTACTTTGGTTGCAAGTTCCTTGTTTTGTACTTTTTAGAGGTCCAGCAGAGACACAGAATTGGTTTAAACAGGACATGAACACAAGCAGTATAGAATATTTAAGTGTATTCCAGTTATATGAAAAATTAGAAAGTCTACAAAATTAAGGTCCTTGAGGCCTCTAACTTGGTCTGAAACAACTTAAGGTATTTTTAAGATAATCCAAAGGAATTAGTATATACACTTAAGAAATACTTATGAATCTTTTTTGCGCATTAAGAATGACAGCTATAATTACATCAGGAACATAGACAAATTCTTCTAACCACAATCTCCCTAACACTTAACAGTAGTGTAATACAAATTCAATTGAAAAATAAAAGTGTACCATTAATTAAATTTAATTACAATCAATCAACTTTAAGCATAATAGTTGTAGTTGTCCACTCGTTTTCAGGCATAAGCATTACAAATATATAACATCTATATATAATTTGTCCTAAGACCTCAGTGTCTGTGTTTTAGGAAGCTTACAACATGTAAGGAGTCTTCTAGAGCACACTATAAAAAAAAACAGCTAGTTAATTGTTGAATCTGAATTAACATTAAAATTAGGACTCAGCATCAGATTGGCATAGAGAAATAGAAAGAAAAATACTTCTAATTTGAAATATGTTTAACAATCAAAATAGGAGTGGTGCTGAGAGAAAAATGACTGGAAGGATGCCTATTTTCTGCGGGGGTTGAGAAATAAAGATACAGTTTGTGGTTCGTATTTCTGTTTCTCTTATCACATCACAATTGCAGAGGGTTTGCTTGACTTTGCAATAAAACTAGTAACAAACATGCATTTAATGTGCATCTTTCTTTGCTGGCCACACCTCAATATCTTCAACACATCAACAGTATAACTTTTGAAACTATTCTTAACATACATCACTCCATCTGATAAATTCCAATTAATTTAATCAAGCAATATACTTAGTATGTTAGGTAAAGCCATTCAAACACATAATTAACTGATGAATACCTTCTCTTTCTTCCTCTTTTCTGACTCTTCAGCTCTCTTCTTCTTTAACCATTCATTATACTTCACTTTGGCCTTTTCTTGTAACTGCATTTTTTCTAGTTCCTTTGTGGCTTTCTCTGCCATTTCTTTGCTCAATTTTCGTTCTCTTTCCCTCCTTTCCTAGACGAAATAGATCAAAGAAGAAGAATTTAAAAAATGCAATATATTTCAACGGGTAGCTATTTTGAGAAATGCTTTTATTATATAATTACAAATAAAATTATCATAACCCTGAAAACGAAACCTACTCATCACTAGACACAAGCCTTGATAACAATTTACATTCAGACTCTCTCTACTATAATGCTTAGTCTGATGATTATTTATTTACACATCTTTTTAAAAAGACTTTCAGCACTTCTCAGTATTTCTGGAAAAGAAATCTATGCTGCAATTCTTGATGAGCATGTTTTAAATTAAGAAGTCTACTTTTCAGTTAAACTAGAGCAAACTACGGTTCTAAATGGAAGTCAGTCTGTGCCCTTCTGACTCACTGATACACATCAGCACTGTAAGATATGATACATAGAGGTCTTATAATTTCTGTGTCTTTCCCAAGTATGTGAATATAATGGCACACAGCATTTTGAGAGTCATTCTCTAAGCTAAAGAGCACATACTGAAGGAAGCATATTCAGATGAAGACAAACAGTACCCCTCACCACCCTATTCTGTAACCTTTCTGAAATGCCTGCGATTCTACTGCTCCAGTATTACTACATTTTAGCTCACTTAGCTCTGAAGAACCTGCATACACAAAAATCCTTACTAGACAAACTATACATGTGACTTGGAGGACAAACTTGAGAAAACTTGAGATCAAAAATTCTGCATTTATAGAAAAGAATTGCTGGATAAAAATGTTTTTAGGAGGGTAGGGAAGCTTCCTAGAGAATGAACTCTTAATCACAGTACTTTAAATGAGCTTAGCCAGAATCATACAATCGTTTGAGTTGGAAGAGGCCTTTAAAGGTCATTCAGTCCAACTCCCTTGCAATGAACAGGGGAACCTATAGCTCCATCGGGTGCTCAGAGCCCTCTCCAGACTGACCCTGAATGTCCACAACAATGGGGCATCCTTCACCTCTCCGAGCAACCTGTTCCAGTGCCTCCTTATCCTTACTGTAAAAAGCTTTCTTCTTGTATTCAATCTACTCCTCTCATTTAGTTTGAAACCATTTTCCCTTGTCCTATCACAACAGACCTTGCTGAAGAGTCCAGCCCCTCCTTTCTCAACAGCTCCACTTTAGATACTGAAAAGCCTCTTTCAGGACTGTCCAGAACCTTCTCTTCTCCAGGCTGAACAGCACCAGCCCTCTCAGCCTGTCCTCAAAGGGTTGTTTTTGAGGCCCTCCTCTGGATGCACTGCGACAGGTCCATGCCACTCCTGTACTGAGGACTGCACATCTGGGCACAGTACTCCAGCTGAATTCTCAGCAGGTGTTGGGGCTTCCTGATTTTTGTTGTCACTATTCCACAGCATAACATGTAAAGCAGTGGGAGTTAAAGAATTAATGTTCTGATTCAGTGGACTGCCCTTTTTTGGGCATTTTGGACCTGAGGGGAGGGGAGGAGTGGCATTCCCCAAAGGACTTTGTGCCCAGAGGAAGAAAGGTGGAGCTCCTGGCAGGACAGCAGCTGCTCTCCCTCTTGCAGACTCTTGGTTTTGTGGCACAGAAGCACGTGGTTCCCTCTGCAGTCTACAGCATAAGGCCTCAGCTTTGGACACTGTCATTTTGTTTGATTTTGTTGGATTCAGTAAAATAACATTCCTTCTCAGATCGTTGCCGTTGCTCTGTTGTTTTTTTTTTTTTTTTTTTTTTTTAAGATCCACCTACTATTTCCCTACCCTTCCCTGCCCCCATCACCCTTTCTCTCCAGCCCAGGAGTGCCCTGCCCTGACATAAATGTTTAACACTTTTGTTGTTGTTGGGTTTTTTTGGGCCTGTGCCCCATGTCACGGACACAGATAGAGAGAGAACTCCATGACACGAGGGCAGAGTGGATGGGCAGGATTGACTCCCTCACCCTGCTTCTGATGCAGCCTAGGATACAGTTGGCTTTCTGAGCTTTGAGGGCATACTGCTGTTTTGTGTCCAGCTTCCCCCCCACTAGTACCCCCACGTCTTTTTTGGTAGGGCTATGCTCTATCCTTCTATGCCTCAGCTTGTACTGATAGGGGGGGTTGCCATGACCCAGATGCAAGACCTAATACTAGGCTTTGTTGTACCTCATGAACTACACCTGGGCCCACTGCTCAGCCTGTCTAGGTCTCTCCGGATGGCATCCCATTCCCCGAGAGTGTAGACTGCAACACACAGCTTGGTGTCATCCACAAATTTGCTGAGGGTGCACTTGATACCACTGTCAACGTTCATTGACAAAGATGTTAAAGAGCATCAGTCCCAGTTCTGTCCCCTAAGGGACACCATTTGTCAATGATGGCCATCCAGATGTTGAGCTACAGACCACTACTCTCTGGGTATAATCTTGCAACCAGTTCCTCATTCACTGAACAGCCCACTCACAAAATCCATATATTTTCAATTTGGAAAGAAGGATTTTGTGGGGGACTGTATTAGCTACTATCTGTGCTGCCCCAAAGTTAAATAAGGCACTATGTAAACAACAACATGCCATGCATACTACCATGAAAGTCAAAGCTATTGCTGAAGTTTTACTTCCAATGAGGAATCACAAGGACTGGGAGGGGTCCCTACAGAACTGCAGACTCTGCAGCTGCCCAGAAATTATTCTGCAAATAAATCAGAAGTGCTTCCTTTTTCTCTCTAGCACAAAACAACTCCTTCAGAAAGGTGATTTACATCACATTCCCAGCTGCTTTAATAATCTGGTTTGTGTCAAGCTCCTGTCACCCCAGCCTTCCAGTTTCCCCCCATTCTCATTTCTTTTTCTTATACAAGACTATCAAGAAAGCTAGGAATGTGCAGGTGAATGCACACGATGTTCTTCAGTCCTTCCTTCACACTGCTTCCACATATGTAAGGGGAAGAGAAATTATATAATTTGTTTATGTGTGGCGTTGTCAGATTGGGTTTTAAAAATTCTCTTTGATCTTGTGTTCCCAACAGACATACCTATTCACTAAACCACCACTAAGTTTACATATACTTTAAAATCTGATTACACACGTTACATAAATTAAGGTATTGATTGTAAAACATCCCATTACTTATTGCAGGAAGAGCCTGTTCTCCTGCCACTCCACCCAAACACATTATTAAGCAGAAAGGATACAAATCTGGCCTGAAGGTTGACTGCTATGGGCTGCGATCCTATCAGGTCTCGGAACCTAATAAAGACTGGGCTGGGTCAGTACTTGGAAATCCCCCACCCAGAACAAACCCAGCCATGGCACAACGCAGTCCTGGTGACTCAGTGGGCAGTGTGTGCCTTACTGAGTCAGTATCAAACCAGTGTCTCATCAACAGAACTATTCAGCTTTTAAGAAAAAAAATCAGACCTATGTATATGTTGAGACTTGTCAAAGAAATTTTAAATTTGACACTTTACTTAGCCTTATTTACTACCTTCTGCCAGAAAGAATTTCTAAGGCAGAAAATGAGCCCAATTACCACTGAAACAGAGTCAACATATCCAACTGGAAGAAAATTAATAAAACATACATTCCTGTATGTTCATATTAATAATTAACTCAGAGGCTGTAAAAAGGATCAAATGCAGAGCTGCTTTATATTCTGAATTTTCTATACACGGTCTCGTGGCAGGGGGGCAATCTTGAAAGGTCCCTTTCAACCCAAACCCATGTCATGATTCTGTAAATAGAAAGATTTCCAGAAATTTATGCTGTTTCGATTTTTTAAGATACTTCTCACAGCAATTGTTTTCCTGTTTTCTACTCTACAGGATATGACAGTGTTTTTCTTTTCAGACGTGCCCAATGATTCTATTGCACAGTTCTGACATCTTTGTTTTTGTATTCCAGCATCATTTCATACTGAACGATTGGTGAAATATAGGAAAAGACCACACTGTCAACATCAGAACATATATGCAAATTTCCTTATATATATTCACAGCAATCTGGAATGTCAGTCACATTTAACAACTCTGGAAATAGGGGTCATTCATCCAATTGTTACTACCTTTTCAATTTAGTCCTATCACACAGCTCAGTCACCAAACCTGGCTCACTTAAATATGTCTATAACCTCTCCAGAACTGGCAAGCAAAAAAAAGAGGAGAGAAAGGAAGTGAGTGATACAACACTACCAACAGGCAGGTTTACAACAATGTTCACAAAATCAATGTGGACTCTATTACAGTCTACAAGTTGGAGAGTTCTAAGACAGTTAGAGCATCGTTCTCCTGAATTCTGTTTCTTTAAAGAATTATCATGTGGGTATTTGATGTAAGTGACAAGCAGAAAGTCGTAGTGGACTTGGCCCATCAATATTCTCAAGGTCTTCAGAAGAACACAGACTCCATGAAAGCTGCCACAAAACACAATTACTCTCATTTTAATCATCTGTTCACTCTGAATTCAAGTTCTGCAAGACTACCCACAATTAATTTTAACACTAAATGTGAGAAATTGGTTCATTCTACTACAGAAATCTAAAAATAAGCCTTACATAAATAAGATCCAGGTACAATCTAAAGTTATATAGATTGGCCTTGCACAACCCCAAAGATAAATTCAATGTGAAGAGACATCAAACACTGTATTAAAAAAAAAAGACTATTTTAAGACTATTTTGTAATGTATTCCACACTCTGGGTTTAGATCCTTAAAAATATCACTTCCTCATAAATATAATGAAATATTCATTAACTGGAAGAAAGACAGCATGAGAACGACTTTTTAGCTTGAAAGTCATGCTCAAACTGCTGAACAATCTGTATGCTGAATTACAATAGTGAGAGGTAACATGCATTCAGCAGTCTTTAAAAAAGGGTTGTGATGCAAGTCTCTCTTCTGTAAGGAATCATACAGCATATCAAGAAAGAGAAGTTGTCTCCAAGAATATTGCCATTCATTATTTCATAGTGTGATGGTTCCAACTTTCTATTTCCTATTGCTTCTTCCTTAAAAGGACTGTCAGCCAAAAGTAAAATAAACGATAAAAAGATGTATT